ATCTGAGCCAACTCACCACCAGGTAGTGGTCAGTTGACAGCTCCGCCCCTCTCTTCAACTGAGTGTCCAAGACATGCGGCCGCAGGTCAGATGAAACAACAGCAAAGTCGATCATCGAGCTGCAGCCTAAGGTATCCTGGTGCCAAGAGCACATATGGACACCTTTATGTCTGAACATGGTGTTCATTATGGACAATCCATGACTGGCACAGAAGTCAAATAACAAAACAACACTCGAATTCAGATCAGGGGGGGGCCGTTCCTCCCAACCACACCTACCCAGGTCTCATTGTCGTTGCCCACGTGAGCGTTAAAGTCCGCCAGCAGAACAAGGGAGTCACCGGAAGGAGTGCTCTCCAGCACCCCCTCCAAGGTCTCCAAAAAGGGTGGGTAGTCTGAACAGTAGTTTGGTGCTTAAGCACAGACCACAGTCAGAACCCGTCCCCTCACACAAAGGCGGAGGGAGGCTACCCTCTCATTCACTGGGGTAAACCCCAACGTACAGGCATCAAGATGGGAGGCAACTAGTATGCCCACCCCTGCTTGGCGTCTCTCAGTGGGAGCAACTCCAGAGTGGTAGAAAGTCCAACCCTTCTCAAGGAAACTGGTTCCAGAGCCAGAGCCATGCGTTGAGGTGAGTCCGACTATATCTAGTCATTACCTCTCAACCTCACACACCAACTCAGGCTCCTTCCCCACCAGAGAGGTGACATTCCATGTGCCAAGAGCCAGCTTCTGTAGCCGAGGATCAGACCGCCAAGGTCCTTGCCCTCGACTACTACCCGTCACACACTGCACCTGACCCCTTTGACCCCTTCCACGAGTGGTGAGCCCATGGGAAGGGGGCCCTACGTGTCCTCTTCCCCACCTCCAGGCCTGGCTCCAGAGGTCGGTGACCCACGTCCGGGTGAGGGAACACAGTTTCCATTTATTTAATTCATCATAAGAGGTCTTCGATCAACAGATCTCCAGATGATAATTTCTCAGTAATGTGAAATCATTACAAGATTCTACATCCATGCTGAACTGGCCTTTGTGCTTTGTTTGCTGCATGCAGTCATCTCACAAGCCTGAGCATGGATTACTTATACTACAGGAAATAATCACGCCAAGGCCCATTAAGTGGGATGGCAGGACACCATATCAGCATTAATCTTCCACTTAGCAGAGCAGCCCCCTGGAGGGAGAGCAAGATTGAGGGGAGAGATGGAAGAAAAGCAATTTATAGCTTTTCTCCTAGACTTTTCTTTTTACTTTTACTATCATGACACACATGTTGTATTTTTATACAGTTTTTTCCCCTCCTCAAATTGTATCATAAACTTAGCTCCAATAACAAGTTGAGCAACTGGACACGTTTAAAATTACTTATAAAAGGACTAAAATTGTTTTTTGTGCATAAATAAAAAATGTGAACAGCTGACAATTTGACATAAAGTGTGTAGCCAGGCAGCACGGAAGCAATTATTAAATTAGTGAAGGTAAAAAAAAATAAGAAAATTATATATATATATATATGTTACAGCAGTTTATTTTTAAAGAAAGAGAGTGGCTTACTTATTTGGTTTTAAAGACTTTTTTTGCTGATAAACTATATAAATGAGTGTCTAATTGTGCTGCAGACACAGGTGGTGAATAATTTGTCACTTTAGTGCATCTTAGTTAAAATTTTAATATTCTGTCAGTGTTGCGCCATCTTCAGGTAAAAACTGCACTGCATTTGAATTTAAATCTGCCGTCGCTATTGGTTAAGAGGTACACTATGACGTGGTACATTATGATGTCACAATGTTGTTGTGAGCCTGTGTGTGTGTGTGTGTGTGTGTGTGTGTGTGTGTGTGTGTGTGTGTGTGTGTGTGTGTGTGTGCATTTGTTAGCGCCGCTGCTCTCTCAGTCTGCCAGGCAACAGCATTTGTTGCATTTTTCAAACAGGAAGTGGGAGTGGAGTAAGACTCTGGTAGGGGGTGACTTGCTCTTTAAAGAGCTTGTTCACCATTGATTGTTTATTTTTGTGGAACCCCCACCCCCTCTCTTCCTTCTGTCTCTTCTTTTCTCTTTCACCTCTGTCTCCATGTCTGGTCGGAAATATAAAGCAACCAAAAAACAATAACAATAAAGTTTTAAGTATCAGGTGTGACATTGAAGCAGCAGCTTTGATGCTCCATCTGAGAGTAAATCTGGAAGGCTTGTCACCAGCATTCAGACATCAATTTTGTTTGCGCCACAGCCAGACAGGACATGAGGAAAAATAAATAAATAAAATAAAATAAAACAAAATAAAATAAATTGTAAATATACCTAGAACATTCTAGTTACAACTCACATCATAATTAAATCAGTGGCACACAAATAAAAATAAAGTAATAAATAAAAAGTCATACAAAAGTGATACATATATAATACATATAAAATAAGCTATTAAAGAGCAAGTCAACCCCTACCAGAGTCTAACTCTACTCGCGCTTCATGTTTGAAAAATGCAACACATGCTGTTGCCTGGCAGACCGAGAGGGTGGAGCCGCTAACAAATACACACACACTCAGGCTCACGACAGCATTGTGACATCATAATGTACCAGTTTACATCATAGCATACTTCTTAGCCAATAGCGGTGGCAGATTTAAATTAAAATACAGTGCAGAGTTTTTACCTGACAACGGCACAACACTGCCAGTTTTAGGCAGAATATTTAAATTTTAACTAAGATGCACTGAAGTGCCAAATTATTGACGACACGTGTCTGCAGCACGATTAGACACTCGTTTATTTAGTTTATCAGCAAAAAAAAGTTTATTTGGGGGTGACTTGCTCTTTAATGAGGCGCCTCAGGAGAGGAAGGAAGCAACTCGCTCACACGGTTTACAGTGGGGATGGGGAGCTGCTGACCTCAACTGGGGCTATAGTCGGACGGTGGAAGGAATATTTTTGAGGAGCTCTTCAATCCCACCTATGAGCATTCCGAGGAGGAACCAGAGCCGGGAGACCTGGGAATGGATTGTCCAATCTCGGGGGCAGAAGTTGCTGAGGTAGTCAAACAACTACACAGCGGCGGAGCCCCGGGGGCGGATGAGGTTCATCCTGGGTATCTCAAGGCTATGGATGTTGTAGGGCTGTCGTGGTTGACACGTCTCGGGGGCAGTTCCTGTGGAGTGGCAGACCGGGGTGGTGGTCCCCATCTTCAAGAAGGGTGACCTGAGGGTGTGTTCCAACTATAGGGGGATCACACTCCTCAGCCTCCCTGGAAAGGTCTACTCCAAGGTACTGAAGAGGACGGTCCGATCGATAGTTGAATCTCAGATTGAGGAGGAGCAATGTGGTTTTCGTCCTGGCCATGGAACAGTGGACCAGCTCTATACCCTTGCAAGGGTGATGGAGGGGGCATGGGAGTTTGCCCAAACAATCCATATGTGTTTTGTGGATTTGGAGAAGGCTTATGACCGTGTCCCCAGGGGCACCCTGTGGGGGACGCTCCAGGAGTATGGGGTGGGTGGCTTTCTGTTAAGGGCAATTCAGTCCCTTTACCAGAGGAGCGTGAGTTTGGTCCGCATAGCCGGTAGTAAGTCGGACCTGTTCCCGGTGAGGGTTGGACTCCGCCAGGGCTGCCCTTTGTCACCGGTTCTGTTCATTACCTTTATGGACAGAATTTCTAGGCGCAGCCGTGGTGTGGAGTGTGTCGAGTTTGGTGCCAGGAGAATCTCGTCTCTGCTTTTTGCGGATGATGTGGTCCTCCTAGCTTCATCCAGCTCTGACCTTCAGCTCTTTCTGGGTATATTCACGGCCGAGTGTGAAGCAGCTGGGATGAGGATCAGCACCTCCAAATCTGAGACCATGGTTCTCGACCCTTAAAAGGGTAGCTTGCCAACTCCGGGTCGGGGGAGAGGTCCTACCTCAAGTGGAGGGGTTTAAGTATCTCAGGGTCTTGTTCACGAGTGAGGGTAGGAGGGATCAGGAGATCGACAGGCAGATTGGTTCAGCATCTGCAGTGATGCGGACACTGAGCCGATCTGTTGTGGTGACGAGGGAGCTGAGCCAGAAAGCCAGGCTCTCGATTTACCGGTCGATCTACGTCCCAATCCTCACCTATGGTCATGAGCTTTGGGTAATGACCGAAAGAACAAGATTGCGGATACAGGCGGCCGAAATGAGTTTCCTCTGTAGGGTGGCCAGGCTCAGCCTTAGAGATAGGGTGAGGAGCTCGGTCATTCGGGAGGGACTCAGAGTAGGACCGCTGCTCCTCCGGATCGAAAGGAGCCAGTTGAGGTGGTTTGGGCATCTGGTCAGGATGCCTCCTGGACGCCTCCCCGGGGAGGTGTTTTGGGCATGTCCTGCCGGCAGGAGGCCCCCGGGTCGACCCAGGACACGTTGGAGAGGTTACATCTCCAATCTGGTCCGGGAACGCCTTGGAGTCCTGCCGGAGGAGCTGGTGGAGATGGCCGAGGACATGACGGTCTGGAGCTCCCTAGTTGGGATGCTGCCCCCCGCGACCCGGACCCGGATAAGCGGAGGAAGACGAGGACGACGATAAGCTATTAATAAACAAAGTGGTCAAAGGTTTGCTAATTTTCCGGTCATTGTTTAGTTTTTCTTCATTCATGTCTCTTAAACATAATAAGGACAAAAATAAAAATTATTATCATGATTTTTTTTTCATATCCAACAAGAATTATGAACAGATTTGGCCAATCACAGGAGATAAAAAATCTGGTTTGGACCAGGTTTGGACACGTGAACCATGACTGATGGTTAGTTCAGTGGTTCGCTGCGCCACCTAGTGTCAGAAAAATTACAGTTACATTTTTCTTAAAAGCTGTCCTACAAGAATCCTGAAGGACCCAGCGGTCATTTAGGGTTGTGACCATCGGTTGTGATGTGTCGTTGATCTTTTATATTTTACAGAAAATATTCAGACATACAGTATAAGTTACTCTCTATTAGGTTTTTGTCTAAACTAAAATTAACGTGATGTTTTATTATTTCTAGTGTGATGGAACGAGTCAACCAGCTCTGTGCCTGATCAAAATTATCTCCTGTCAGCCGTCAGTCGCTGAGTGCGGTGACAGCTGAGTATTTCATTCAATCCTTTTCCCTGTACGCTGAAAATAATCGCCACAATGTTTGAGGAGGCTAGTGAAGTGTTTGACAACATGTTCAAGTCGTCGTTTCCTTTGACCTTTATTGTATTTATCCCCGCGGTGTTGATTCTGGTGTCCCCACTACCAGCCGAGGCGGCACATGAGTTCACGGTGTACCGCATGCAGCAGTACGACCTCCAGGGACAGCCGTACGGTAAGACAGACGATTTTTTCCTTTGTCCCAGTCGATATGAAATAAAAACACATTCACAGCAAATTCGTGCAGGATAAGTAACAGATTCAGCGGCGAATAATTTGTTTACAACAACCGTTTAAGTAGCTTTCTAGCTGCTCGCGTAGCCTAGCTACATGATAGGGAGCAGTGTGTTTTAGTTACTAGTAATGTATGTGTTACTCAGAGGCGTTAACTATTAACACGGGGAGGTATTTGCGTAAAATTACCTGTTATGGTGAACGTTATCACTAGCAGACTGGATTTAGAGTCAACAATTGGGCTAATTGACTTAGAAATGTACAAAATCTTCTGTGATTTATTTAGTCAGATCTTAACACCCCCTAAGAAACATGGCTTATTGAAATAATAAGGTTGAGCTTACTCAAGAGGTTTCACTGAGGGGGAAATGATTGTTTTTGCTTCTTTTAAACACTGGAGTAACACTCTGCAAGCTTTGTTTTTCAAGATGTATGGCTATAATTGGAATGAAACTTAATTTATCACAAAACCTTCTCAGCAAAAGTTGCTTCATAAGACCGGTGTGTGAACATTTAAAGGGTTTAGTAAACATATAAGTAACTAAAACTACCCTAGATATCTGTACAGTACTTAAAAATGTAAAATGTAGAAACAAACTGACTGTTTTGAGTTGTTTTACCTCTTGTTCTTGAGTTTATTCCTTTCCCATTTGTCTACACAGATACACGATACACGACACACCAAAGATGGGTTAAATGTTTTAAATGTCCTCCTAATTGATTCTAGTGCTGTTGATTTCTTATAATCCATGGAGGACGTTATGGAGACAACAGTGTTCACACATTGTCTTCTTGTCAGGCTCCTCAGTTTGTTTCCCTTCATTTCAGTTGTCTGTAAAGTGTGCCAGACTTTTAAGTGGTTGTTAAAAGACGAGTCTGCTTTGCACACAGGTGCATTTCAGAGTTGAGCAATTATTCTTGTTTCTTTAGGAACCAGGAACGCCATCCTGAACACAGAGGCACGCACTGTGGAGGCGGAGGTACTAAGTCGCCGCTGTGTCATTATGCGACTGGCGGATTTCTCCTACGACAAGTACCAGAAAGCTCTGCGTCAGTCAGCGGGGGCTGTGGTCATCATCCTGCCCAAGAACATGTCTGCTATGCCTCAGGACATTGTGCAGGTATTAATGCATATCAGTGCTGCTTTGTTCTACCCTCTTGTAGTTATTATTATTTTTCTTCTCTCTATGTTCATGCTCATAACTATAGTGGGTAGTGGTGGTCCAATCCACGGTTTATGTCACATCATCATCCCTCTGATCTCGTTCATTTTTGGAGAGTTTCTTCTCAGCAGTGCCGCAATCTGTATGGCTCAAAAGCTGCGTAATTAATCGAGGAGTCAAATTTGTAACAAATCCAAGGTTTTTTACACTTAACAGAGATTACACATTATCTCTGTAAAATGTGCCACATGTCTTCTGACTACTTAAGCCTCCTACTTCAGGGGTGTCAAACTCAAACTCACACAGGGCCGAAATGAAACTCTGGGACGGAGCCGAGGGCCAAACTTAATATTTTTTGAAAAAGTGACGGCAAATTTGCACATTTTCTTTATCAACATATATGCAATTTTGAACCTTTAAATTTGGAAACAAACTTATTTCTGCATTAACACTGAATGTGGAATAACCAAATGACACACGAGCAGGTCAGTTTTAAATAAAAGGCATCAGTGGTATTCATTACTTGTGGTATATTCAGCATTTTTAAAATCTATTCAGGATTTATGTTTTCTTGTTTATTCATTTTTGTTATTTTTTATTCTCCTTTTTTTCTCCTGTAATAAGTGTCATCGCTGCTGTGACGTCTAGCTTTCCCCACTGAGGAACAATAAAGGGATTTTCTATTCTATTCATCTATCTGCAGCCTTTCCACTTCCTGTTTACTGTAGGTTAAATCTTTTCTCACGGGCCAACAACAAAATAAAAATATCATTTTATCTTAAATGAAAATGCAACATCTCACCTGTTAACTTTCATGTTTTGGAGCAGAAAAAGAGCATAAAACCAACATATTTAAAGCTCAGTTTACTCCACTGGTTTACTGTGATGCACACCTGTTCCAGCCAGATACCTGCATCATGGGGTTGATCTGAGCTGAGGAGGAGACTCCTGTTGTTTTGTTCATCTTCTTCATAATAATGACAACATTAGATGACAACAGGTGCTCACATAGGTTTGTGCTGCTGAACATGTCTGAGCAGCTTGACCACGTTGTTGTGTGTCGGGGAGGAAACACAACGACAGCAGCCACAGAGTCGTGCTGGTTTGAGCGTGTCGCCGTTCGCTGGAGTTATATCAGCTCTGTCTGGACGTTGGTTGGAAAACGTTCTCTTTCAGTCGTGAACACATTACTGATCGGCTAGAATCTCCGTTTCTGGGCTTCAACGTCAGAAAACAGCTGAGTGAACTCAGCGCTGAGTGAGAGGAGTGTAGTTTGTCCGAGACAGCGGAGCTGCAGACACCGGCAGCAGGCACTGGAAAAAACACAAAGGAGGGGGCGCATCGGCTCCGCACTAACGCCGCAAAGCATCATGGGAGTTGAAGTCTTTGCGGTAAAATTGGCCAGCGGGTCAGTTTTAATATATTTTTGATATTTATCTCGCGGGCCACATAAAAATGCTCCGCGGGCCGCATCTGGCCCGCGGGCCTTGTGTCTGACATATGTGTCCTACTTTATGTGTGGGGAAACCACTAGAACACAAAAGCGTTTGATGACTTTCTTTCATTTTGGTACATGATGAATATGTTTTTATAGATTTATTGAAGAATACCCATCTGTCAGAACACATTCCATATGGATTATTCATCCTTAAAGTGGATTAGATTTTTCTCTTTCGCGTTTATTCTGTTAGACAGTGGTCAAATGAAGCCGCTTTTTCTTATAAAGACTTCAAATCTTTTAACTTTTTCATTCTTTGCAGCAGTTCATGGAGCTGGAGCCAGAAATGTTGGCTACTGAGACCATCATCCCGGTCTACTTTGCCATCGAGGACGATGAGCTGCTGTCCATCTACACTCAGACGCTCACGTCATCATCTTCTCAGGGATCTTTATCAGCAGCTGAAGGTAGAGATTCAGAAGGTCCCAAACAGAAACTGTAGCGCTAAAATGAAACATCTGATCTGGGTTTTAGAAGGACGACACTTCAGCATTTGTGTGTGTATCGTGTTTTTTTGTAGTGCTGCTGCATACAGCCACAGCTAACGGCTTTCAGATGGTGACCAGTGGAGCTCAGAGTAAAGCTGTCAGCGACTGGGCCATCACCAGTGTGGAGGTGAGAACTGAGTTGAGCCCATTCTCACTCCGAGACCTACTTACAGAGGGTTATGTGTAGGCTTACCCAGAGGACGGAGCGCCTCAGATTAGCTCAGTCCCGGTTTTCTTGTTTTCAAGGATTTCTGATTAGATTGAAATTCTTGCATGAAGATTTTAAATCTGTGAATTTAAGAGTCTGGAGTTATTCATGTTGAATGATTATATTTGATAATTATATCATTTGTTGAATTTCTGGGTAAAGGTGTATGTATTTGTTCTTGTGCGTGCAAATATTTAATTTCACTGTGATCTGGAGGCTTAAAGAGAGCCAAAATGTCTGAAACCTAAAGAGTGTTTCAGGTATAATACTCTTAATTAAACTCTAAATCTTGGGGAAATTAAAACTTTTTCAGCGTTTAGTTACTTTTTTGTTTGAAGGCTACAATTTTAAACAAAGAATTTAATAACATTGAATAGTTGAACCTCAGACTCAGGAGAAAAAAATCTGGTTTTCGTCCTGGCCATGGAGTACTGGACCAGACCTATACCCTTAGGGGGGTCCTGGAGGGTGCGTGGGAGTTCGCCGAACCAGTCTACATGTGTTTGTTTAGTGGATTCGGAGAAGGCATTCAGCCACTTCCCTCACAAGGCCCTGTGGGGGGTACTCCAGGATTATAGGGTACCAGGCCCTCTGATACGGGCTGTTAGGTCCCTGTGTGACCGGTGTCAGAGCTTGGTCCGCGTTGCCGGCAGTAAGTCGGGCTCATTACCAGTGAGAGTTGGACTCCACCAAGGCTGCTCTTTGTCACAGATTCTGTTCATAACTTTTATGGACAGGATTTCTAGGCAACTTTTTGAGAGGATCTGATTTGATAGCCTGAGGATCGGGTCTCTGCTTTTTGCAGATGATGTGGTCCTGTCGGCTTCATCAGAACGTGATCTCCGTCTTTCGCTGGAGCGGTTTACAGCCGAGTGTGAAGCAGCTGGGATGAGAATCAGCTCCTCTAAATCTGAGACTATGGTCTCTTGAGTCAGAAAAGGGTAGAATGTCTTATCCGGGTCAGGGATGAGGTCCTGCTTCAGGTGGAGGAGTTTTAAGTGTCTCAGGGTCTTGTTCACGAGTGAGGGAAAGATGGAGCGTGAGATCGATAGGCGGATGGATGCTGCTTCTGCAGTGACGTGGGCGTTGTACCGATCAGTCGTGGTGAAGAGAGAGCTGAGCTGGAAGGTGAAACTCACGACTTACCGGTATATCTACATTCCAACCCTCACCTATGGTCACGAGCTTTGGTAGTGTCCAAAAAAGTGAGAATGCAGATAGGAGCGGCCGAATTGAGTTTTTTTCTGATGGGTATCTGAGCTTAGAGATAGGGGAGAAGCTCGGTCATCCGGCAGGGGCTCAGAGTAGATCCGCTGCTCCTCCATGTCAATAGGAGCCAGTTGAGGTGGCTCAGGTCTAGTTAAGATGCCTCCTGGACGCCTCCCTGGTGAGGAATATTGGAGAGATAGCATTAGCCAACGCCAGTGCCACAGAAGTTTTGACTCTACTGCAAAATAAAAAATCTGCATAAATTGAAGACTTTTATTTTCTTCTTTAGGGTCGCCTGGCCGGAGTCGGAGGAGAAGAGCTCCCCACTATAGTGGTGGTGGCTCATTATGACTCTTTTGGTGTTGCTCCGGTACGTTAGCTAATTCCTTGTGTTCTCTTTCTCGCTTCTAAAACTGTTGCCACATTCGAGGAATCAAGCATCTGAAACATTTTGACTACAGACGCCCCTTGAATGCCTTACTTGGGCAGCTTAAGGATTAGGAAATTACACAATGACCTGCAGCTGTCGGCTGTGATGTAATCAGACTATGTTGTTGTGTGTAGTGGCTGTCATACGGAGCAGACTCTAACGGCAGTGGCGTGTCCATGCTGCTAGAGCTGTCTCGTCTCTTCTCCAAGCTCTACACCTACAAGAGGACACACGCTGCGTGAGTACAAAGATTCTCACCTAGATGGGTTTCTAAAACAAGGTTAAACAGCTGTTCCCACATAAAAAAATATTTGTACCACAAAGATAACTTCACTAGAGGTTTTTCTACACACTATTTTCAGTATTTGTGGTATTCACTCAGCTTTGTCTTCATCTTTACAAACACCTTGATGTATTTTTACAAACGTCAGCAGATGTTGCTTTGTTGAAATGAGTCTCCCGTGTGTGAATTGTGTTTTCAGGTACAACCTGTTGTTCTTTGTATCTGGTGGAGGAAAGTTTAACTATCAAGGGACCAAACGTTGGCTGGAGGACAACCTGGACCACACAGGTGTCAATCAGGTTTCCAGACCTGCTGTTTATTGGTCATTTTGATCTGACTACAAGTTGCTGTCAACATACAGGTCAATTTTAACAAGTCAAGAACAGATGCTTTTATATATTTCTGTCAAGAAAATGGCCAAGTATGAAGAATAAATAAATAAAAACATCTGGAGCAGACGCAGAAATGTGGCTGTTTTATCTCCATCTAGTTCTGTCACATCATGCACCTCCTTTTCCTGACCTTTTTTCCTTATTTTGTCTCCTGACAGACTCCAGTCTGCTGCAGGACAACGTAGCCTTTGTTTTGTGTCTGGACACTCTGGGGAACGGAGACTCTCTTTACCTTCATGTGTCCAAACCACCAAAAGAGGGAACCCCTCAGTATTCTCTGCTCAAAGAACTGGAGATGGTAAGAGCACCAGCATGAGGTTACATCATGCTATCATTTCAGGTAAAACTACTGTCCAAAATACAACCTTATTATGGTCTGGATATCTTGGTAATCTTCTAAACTGCAGGAACATTAAAGTTACACAGAGCAGTTTCCTGCTTCTCTGCCCTACTGGTTGAAAGTGGAATTACAACTGTCGTAAACAACCCTGCTGTAGCTAGCACTAACAACGAGCTAACACTAACGTGAGGCAACTAACACTAAAATAAACCACGAAGTAAAAAGATCCACACTGTTGAACAAAATGTATTACTTACAAGTAAAGTATCAACAAAGCCAGGTCATCATCAGTCCGTCCGTCAGGGCCTGTTGTGCAGCGGGCTGTCTGCCATCAAATGCACAGCTCAGCTTATCAGTGCATTCTGGAGGCCACACTTTCAAAAACCACTTTGGTTTTCTTACATTGAGCTAAATAATTACATTGACATTTCTTTATTTTCGTCGTCGTCTTCCTCTGCTTATCCGGGTCCGGGTCGCGGGGGCAGCATCCCAACTAGGGAGCTCCAGACCGTCATGTCCCCGGCCATCTTCACCAGCTCCTCTGGCAGGACCCCAAGGCATTCCTTGACCAGATTGGAGATGTAACCTCTCCAACGTGTCCTGGGTCGACCCGGGGGCCTCCTGCCGGCAGGACATGCCCGAAACACCTCCCCGGGGAGGCGTCCAGGAGGCATCCTGACCAGTTGCCCAAACCACCTCAACTGACTCCTTTCGATCCGGAGGTGCAGCGGTCCTACTCCGAGTCCCTCCCGAATGTCCAAGCTCCTCACCCTATCTCTAAGGCTGAGCCCAGCCACCCTACAGAGGAAACTCATTTCGGCCGCTTGTATCCGCGATCTCGTTCTTTCGGTCATTACCCAAAGCTCATGACCATAGGTGAGGATGGGGACGTAGATCGACCGGTAAATCGAGAGCCTGGCTTTCTGGCTCAGCTTCCTCTTCACCACGACAGATCGGCTCAGCGTCCACATCACTGCAGATGCTGAACCAATCCACCTGTCAAGATCGACAGGCGGCGGCGGATTTCTTTATTTTATTAAACAAGTTATTTTAGGAGGCAGCCGCAAAGCGTCATGGCAGACTGAACTATTGCTGGTCTTTAACTGTACCAAGAATAAAATGCTCCCACACTGTGCTCTTTAACTCATTCACTGCCATTGACAACTAAAGTCTAAAGTCGTCATTTGCATTTTTTTTACTGTGTGGGCGTCTGAACAAGCCCCCGCACCGTGAGAACAAACATCTCAGCTCTAAAGCCGATCTTCATCCGCGTACGTCACACGTCACGTGATCAGGAAGCAGAAAATCCATGTGTTAGGAGATCGTTTTGGGCCGCTGCTGTAATAAAAGTGAGGCGTGAACCAGAAAAGCTTCTGCAGATCACAATTCAACAACGGATTATGAAATAACGGATAACGCTCGAAACGCGCGGATTCTTCCTGATGTAAGAGGCGAGTCTCCACTTTGTTTTGGGAGTTTTGGCGTCGACATCATCCTAGCGCACAACGTTCTGCGACTCTTAAAAAAGCAGTAAAAATGGTGAGAAACGCTGGCAGCGAAGGGCTTTACCGATCAGGAAACGGCTGGCAGTGAATGAGTTACCTGCTTAAACTTTGAGTAAATTTATGTGATCATGTAACTAGCTCACTACTTCTTCTGTTGTTTACAAATAAGCAACAATCTTGCGCCCTCTAGTGCCGCTAAATATATTACACCCATACGCAGTAGAAGGATGTGAACTTCTTAACCATTTAACCAGACAAAACCATTTTACCCAGTTATGACATTAACGACAATTAACCAGTTAACTATGTACATTCCTAACACCTACCCGCTCCACAAAAACTATCAAGTGTGGTTTCTGGTCAGCAGAGGGCTGTAGAGTGGTGTCAAATATGAAACTGGTCAAGTTTCTAACTCAACAGTCACTGAGCTCAATGTTAAAGCTCTAGCTTAAAGTTTAAAAAACTAGTATTTATGGTTACTTTAAGACTTGACAAGGCTAAAAAAGCTTGAATCACCAGATGCATCATGGGAGTTTGAATCTGGACATTTGTGAGATTTTTTTACTAAAATCTTTTTGGCTTGTACTTGATTTTCTGTCGCATCCTAATGAGGCTTTGAGGCTGTCTGGGCTATATCAGTGTGCCATCTCTTCCCTCCAGGTGGTTGGTAGTCAGTACCCAGAGGTGAAGTTCTCCATGGTCCACAAGAAAATCAACCTGGCTGACGACATGCTGGCCTGGGAGCACGAGCGCTTTGGGATCCGTCGCCTGCCAGCCTTCACGCTGTCCCATCTGCCCTCACACCGCTCGGCTCAGCGTTCCAGCATCATGGACGTGCGGTCAGTGTCCCCCTCCTCTCGCTATGGAGTGGAAGAGCCCCCTGCTGGGTGGGTTCATTACTGCAAGTCACTCAGATCTTAAGAAAACTGTACCCATTACAGCTCTTAGCTGTGATTTTTTTGTTTTACACCTCACCAAACCAATGTTTGATCTATCTCTTTAGCAGGTCACTATATTGGAAGTGTTATCCCTCTACAGTATGATGCTCAGTTTATTTATTTTCTCCTATATTGTAAGTCTTAGTTTGCCTGAATGGAGGTGGTCTCTGTTTTTGCCACTTTTGTCCTCTAATATTCACTGTTGCTGTTTTAGTAAAAGACAGACTTGTTCGAGTGTTAAACTCGTGTGTTTGCGTCTTACAGGCCTCATGTTGATGTAAGCAAACTCAGCAGGAACACTAAGGTGGTGGCAGAGGCCTTGGCCAGGGTCATCTATAACCTCACAGAAAAGGTGGGGGGGGGAGTGAAACACACTGGATAAAACTACAAAAACATGGTTTGTTTTCCCCAAACCCCGGTTGCTTATTTGTTTTGTTTTTTTGTTTTGTAAAGGGAGCACCTGGAGATCTGCAGATTTTCACAGAACAAATGGTAGGTTGCTAAACTCACACTGTGATCCACGTCTGACTTTCATTTGCATTCTGATCAGCATGTTTTCTCAAAAACGATCAGAAAACAGCCTCAAATTGTGTTATTGTGCTTTGCAGATTAAAATACTGAGAAATTTTGAGCCATGAATTAGACAAAATGTTGAAAAGGACATGTTTAAAAAGAAAAATCTGTGTAGAGTTGAGTCTCTTTAAAGATATAAACCTTTGCCTAATGGTGTGCAGAAGGTATTTAGGTGTGCTCAGATGTTTCTGGTGTTTTGTCAGCAGGTGCAGGAGGAGCATCTTTCAGCGGTGGTTGAATGGCTCACAGCTCAGCCTCGAGCTGCTCAGCTGGTGGACAAAGACAGCAGCTTCGTCTCCACACTGGAGTATCACATGGGGCGTTACCTCAAGGATGTCAAAAGACACTATGTCAAAGCTGACAAAAGGTAAAACAATGGATCATTTCTGCCTTTTTTCACTTCATAAACTTTTATGTCTTAAAAGTTTGCTTAAAAAATGTCTTGCAGTCACAAACTTTGGATTTAAATACTTTTATTGGGATGGTAGATATATTAGGTCATCATGATGCCAGAGTACAAACATTACATTTGTCTTCCCCTTCAGAGATCCAGAGTTTGTTTTTTATGACCAGCTGAAGCAGACGATGAATGCGTACAGGTAAGGGCTCAGCTTCCGTTTCCTTGGCGATGCTTCAGAGCAGATTTAAACGTAGGATTCAGCGTGTTTGTTTCTTATTAGAGCTGATTAGTCCAACCTAAAACATAATGCATCTCCATGTGCTGCAGAAAACAATCAACTCAACCTCATTTAGTGTAAACAAAGAAGAAAATTAAAAGTATGCAAGTGTTTTGAAAGGAAACTATTCTTAAAACAAAACTACATGGAGGCCTAACCTGCATTATAATTTACTGTTATAGAGAATAATTGTTATTACTCTCTGTTGAGTTTATCTTTAGAACATATTTCTCAAACAAACACAAGGTGCTTCACTTTAAAATTTAATAAAAGCTTAAACTAAAATATCAGTGGAAAAGACAATAAACCTCTAAAGCCTAAAAAATATGAAATAATTATAATGAAAGAAAATTTATATTTTTAAAACTGAACTATTAACTGGATTATGTTAGTATATCAGTTTGATTTTATTATGTAATTAGTTAACAATATAACAGTATTAATGTAATGAAATTGACCTTTTCCACCTTTAAATCCACCAGCAGGGGGCAGTAAACTCATACAGGTCTAGAAAGGGCAGGTCTGTGAGGACGGCACTAATCCAGATTCTCCACCTGGACTCTCTTAAGACCAGAAGTGGTTTGATGTGAATTAGTGATGTTAGACTACAAACAAAACAAACGCGTATCATGATATAAAAACTCTTAAAATATCTAATTAAAAGGCGTCAGTGGTATTTTTTAAGTAAACAAACACCTTTTGCACCCCAGTGTGTTTATCTGGTCCAGTAAAGATATTAATACTCTCAGATTAAATGATCTAAAGGCCAGAGAGGAAGGTCAGAAACATCCAGTTAAAGCCTTGAATAACTGATAAAAACAAAATTTTAAAGATTATTTCTGATTATAATCGGTCATTCTGAGTTTTTCATGCAGCCAGAAATTGAAAATAGTCTCCTATACCTATCTCCTGCATTAGCTTTTTATAGACAATAGACAGTTAAGCTATAGGATTTGAAAAGCCTGACAGATCTACGTCACACTGCAACAGGGTATCTGCGGGTCCTTAAAAAGTCTTTAAAAGTCTTAAATTTGCTTTTCAAAATTTAAAGCTTTAAAAATCCCTAAAAATGACAAATAATCCTTAAATACAGTTTCCAAAAGTCTTAAATTACCAAAGGTCCACTAAACAAGATTCTTTTATTTCAATAAAAATTTCATGAATTTCTAGTTAGTGTTCAGGATGTTTTGTGTGTGATGTTGGCGTAAGCGGAACCATACACATTCAGTTGGTTGTGAAAGGGGGCTATTTTTAGATGAGCACATTAGCTGGTTAAGCTAGTGGGAGCTTGTGCCATGGGGAAGTTTAACGGTGACTGGATGGCTAATCCCACGTTCGCGTTGTGGTTAGCACCGGCTCCAGGCGATAGCTGGAAATTATAGCTTAAATTTAATTTTAAAAATAGCTTAAATTTGGTCAAAATGGCCTTAAAAAAGGTCTTAAAAAGTCTTAAATTTGGCTTCCTTAAACCTGCAGATACCCTGTGCAACTAACATTCATGGGCTCACCCATCTTGGCTTGCAACGAGGAAGGCTGTTGTTGGTTTAGCGTCCAGGAAACAGCAGAAAATGCCTCAACTAGTAGAAGCTAACTGTTAGCATTAGCAACTCCACATCACAGTAGACATCCTTCAAGCTTGTGTTATTTGTGGAGACAAAACAAACGTTGCAATTCAGTGGTAAAGCCATGTTGCTGTTAACCAATCAGAGGCCATATGTCCAAATATCAGGAAATAAGAGTCCAAAACCTGCCATCTGAAACTACTTTCTTCTTCAGCTAACTTGTATGTCCTGACACAGACACCGAGTATTTCCCTCCAGAGTATGACTTACAAGTTATTCATTCCTACTAGAGACCATAGCAAATGTATCAATTAAACAAGTGATCTACACCTTTAAAATGGAAAATCAGAATGACTCTTAATAAAAAGCTCACATGTGTCGTGGTGGATGGCTGCTTATACTGAGCCAGGATCCTCTGGAGGTTTCTTCCTGTTAAAAGGGACTTTTCCCCTCCACTGTCGCCGCATGCTTGCTTAGTATGAGGATTGCTGTAAAGTCTTGATGTAATTTTCTGGGTTCCTTATATAGGAAACTTTTTACTGATCGGCTTAATGAACTCAGCTGTATTAGAATGTTTACTTTGTGAAGTGCCTTGAGACGACTCTTGTTGTGATTTGGTGTTATATTTATATAAATAAACTGAATTGAATTCTATACTTTGATCAAACACAACCCCAAACCATCTTAAAGCTTTTCTGCTATTATGATGTTTTTAAAATCTTAGTGAACTACTTTTCAGTTTCTTTTCTGACGCTGTTTGTCTTCCTCTCAGAGTGAAGCCGGCCATTTTTGACCTTCTGCTGGCTGTTTGTATCGCAGCCTATTTGGGGATGATGTACCTGGCTATCCAGGTGAGTCGCTGTGCTGTTGCAGGATCGATATGAGACATCAGTTTTAATAAGTGGTCACTGAAACATTAACAGATAAAACTGAGTTTCACTTTAAAGTTAAATGCTTTCAAGAATTTATGCTTTATTATTTCATGCTGTGAAAGAAGACAACAAAGGTTTATTGACTGTTGGCTCGTGGTCTCTTTTGGTGTCTCTGCAGAACTTTGGACTCCTCTACAGCGTGGTGCGTAGAGTCACCCAGCCCAAAGCCAAGGTCCACTAAAGCCTTTTACTTTTCCAGACCCCGCTGTACCTCTTTTCTCAAATCCAAACACTCTAGTCAGGACGAATGAAGACGCTGCATCAAGCTGCTGTTCTTCCATCTCCTTCATCCGGATGCACAGATGATGATGTCATCAACATGTGGTCTCATGGACCAGAATCTTCAGGAATCACGTTTCCCTCCCCGAGGTCTCGGCGTTCATTCCCGTGGGATTTGTTTTGCAGTTTTTTTGATCGGGTTTGCATGAGGCTGAATGAGTTCTGTGCTTTTCTTCCACCTCTCAGTGCACTCTGAGCCAAACTGGCTTTGTGCTGTTTTTGGCAGCTAAGGAAAGAACCTGACCACTCAGAGTTAAACCTGGAGTATTTCTCCTTGTTTTCACCTGGCCTGTAACAGTCCACCATGTCACTCGCCTGTACCTTTGTGCTTTTAAAGAGGCACTGACCACCTGAGTCCACGACCTTTGTTCCTGGTAAAAAGGATCTTTCAGTCTTAGATCTTTCATTTGATTTCTGACTAAACCTGTTTTCTGACGTGTGCTGAGTAGATAAACCTGTGTTTGTTTTTGTGCGGAGGTTTGTATGACGTTTCATTAGCAATAGTTTTTTTTTTTTTATTAATCCATGGAGCCACATTTAAATGATTTAGTTTTCTGTGACGTCTGAAAGCTTTTTTAATTGGATTGATGACAACTTGTGGTTTGGCTTTTTTCCAGTTTCCTGCTGAGTGAACCGTTTGTGTCTGAGCACAAGAAACTACCAGAACCACCAATAACTCTATCAGAATACATTTAAACATGTGATGATCTATTTTAAAATATTTCTCCTGTAGGCAGTCTGAGGCCAACGCTCAGACGAGAATCCTGTTTACATAAAAAAGGATCTTTCTATGAAATGTGAAGTTACGTTTAGAAAGTCTTTATGATCTTTTCCTGACTTATTCTAATTATTTACCTAATTTGTGTCATGATTGTTTTTAACAGATCAAGTCTTTATTTTTTAATCCTTTTCTGATTATGAAGCATCGTGACGGTTAAACGCCCGTATCTGATGGAGAATACCAGAAAATCACAGGCAGTAAATCTGCCTTTTCTTTTCTTTAATCAGATCACATATTTTTGGTGTGCAGGACATCCACCCTCATGATCTTAATCTGTAAAAACATTTTTTCTAACACCTTAGTGAACACTGGAGTCTCAAGACGGGCGATGACCTTTTAACGTAAATCTCTCAAACACCGATCTGTGTGAAATGCATTCTTCAACATTGTGTTGGCGGTTTCTTGCGTGGGTTTTGTTTTCTGTGTGATGACAGGACTTTATTCACTAATCAAGAAGAGTGTGGTACGTTTGAATCCTAATTTATTGCACTGGTTTGCTTTAGTGGACCGAAATGAGTTTTTTTTTCATCTCTGAATCCGGTTTCACCTCCTTCACACTCGATCTTTGCAAAGAAATAATTGTCAGTTGTGATTAAGAATAAAAAACTGAAAAAACAAGCAGCGCTCCGTTTTTGTTTACTGACAAGTTTTATTCTATGATAAAATAATTAAAACAGCTGAATGGAATTAAAACTATTACAAAAGAGTAAATACAGGTGTATCAAGTATCATTCAGTGTGGAAAAACACGTCATTTGATGTTAAATAGCTTACAGTGTTTAATAGTGGTCCAAAAGTCAGTCGCATACATTTCAAAGTAAGATTCTGTTTCATGATCCTTCGGTTATTCATGAAAATTTCCCTTTTAAATATTAGAAATGAACCATAATACTAATAATAAATTACAGTGCAACGTGTAAGAAATACCTGCAGGGCTTTTCTGCCCATCACACTCAAACCAGCTCTTTAGTCACCAATTCTCTGAAAAAGGTGTAGTTTTAGTGGTCATTGTGGCACAGTTGAAGCATTTGAGAAGATAATTTAGGAATGAAAGAATATTAACTCAATCTTTTGGAAATAAAGATGATGAACCCTTTCATGCATGATGACAACCTCGAGATTTTATTTCTTCCAGATGTGCATGAAAGGGCAAAATGTATAACATTCTGCTCATTCCAGCATCATCAGCTGCCTTTGCAACATTTTCCGCCTGTCGGCACACCGCTGCAGAGATAAAGCTGCAAACTTGTCACTTTCTAAATGAAATTAAATAGAGAAAACAGGTTGTTCAAACTTCTTCCAGTTCGTCAGTGCAGTCAGCATTTTCACAATGCTTGTGCAGCTTTTCTGCTCACCTAAACGTGTTTTTAATGCAGAAAATAGCGATTGCCTTAAATCAGAGCCTACAAATCAACATTGTCAAACTATTGTAATAACTCCCTGCATCCTTTAGAGGAAAGTGTTAGAAATCAACCAGTTTTTGGTCATTTGAAAAATTCCTTTCCTGATTATTTATTATCTGTGCCAACATGAAGCGCGAGTGAAGTTAAAATAATCAAACCTCTTTCCTGACTTGACTGTAAAAGTGATCTGATTGAAATGTTTGATCACTGGAGGTGAATTTTCAATTCCCTGTAAGCAGTCGCCAAGTATTTAAATGCAATTATTGTCCAAATTAAAGCAGATATGAAAGCCTGTTTGGGAGTAAAACAACAGAAATACTTCAGACTGGTGAATAAAATCATGTGATCATGAAAAAGCTCATTGATTAAAAATGTCCACAAAAGTCAAATATCCCCTGAGGTGCTAAAAGGATGGAAACACTGCTGTCCACACCTAGTATCAGTTTGTTGTTTGCTCATCACATCACAACATCTCTGTAGTAAGACTCATCTCACCCAGGTCACAAGTTTACTACCACTTCTCTCATTAATCTAATAGATTACCAGAAAACTAGATAATCTAGTCTCACAGTTAAACACGTGGGGTGGACCGTAAAGTTTACAGTACAGATGTGTAGGGATTAATTCAGATCTAAATCCAGATTTTTGGTGATGGAGATGAGCCTGGCGCCTGAAAAAGAGCACCGGCTTGAGCAGAAAAACACTTCTGGAACATGAACAGTGCTCTCACCCTAAAGACTTAAAAAATAAAACAGCAGCAATTCAAACAAACAAAAACAATAAAAGTGACGCTTTTACGTCATGTTTTATCTAAATTGTTCCCAAAATACTGATTTGAGGGAAGACAAAACAAAACTGACACGTTTTGGACTAACAAGATCTGCAACATGTTCAAGCAGCACGAGCATGCCGTTCATCCAAACAAAAGCTTGAATTTGATCGAGAAGGTAGATTCAAGTTAAACGTTCCTCAGTTCCAGAAGCCGTTGACCACACATGCAGCCAAATAAACACATCGGTTTCTCGCTGTTTATCTGAGGGTACATCATTAGAGAGCCACGCTTGTTTAAGAGACCCACGTTAATTCTCACTTAAACCAACAAAAGATCACTTCAGAATATGTTTTAGGTGTGAATAAAGCTTAAAAACTCGGAGGATTTTCTTTAGATACAAAAAAACATTCTGACATGATGCAATCAGATCATGTTCATACGCAGTTTGTTTTTCAAATTCATCACAAGTGATCTCTCCCACTTTTTCTTCCACCATTCATGACCTGGTAGAAAAAACGATTTTACAGATTAATGATCTCTTCTTAGAACCCGTCAATCAGTTCTAGCTTTCATCCTGTCATTAAACCAGCATTAAGCTCATATGCCTTCATATCAGTGCAGCAGACACAAAATAATAATCACTAATTAAAAAGAGAAAACACTTTTCCACACAGGAACGCCCGTATTCTAGTGGATCATCGGGCCAAGAGACAAACTCTGAGTTTAAATGTTACAAATAAAGGATTTCCCTTGCTATAAAAGCTGCAGCCACACTCGGGACTTCCTGAAACATGCAGATTCTGTACCTGGTTTCTCAAACTTGTGTGAATAGATGCAGGAAGCCAGAGGTGTGTGCTAACCGTCACTGACTTTGTTACTGAAGCCTAAAAATCAGAGCAGCGCAGGAAAATGATAAACAAACTCTCCTTTCTCTCCATATTGAAAGCCACAAATCAAAAGAAGCAGCTGCTGTTTGTTCCCCTCCCATGAGGAAAAGACTACCATTAGGGTGAAGTCAGAGTCCAGCCCTCACTCAGTCAAGTTCGTTTCTACTGACTCGATCAACAGTAAGGTCAGCTGAAATAACATTCACAGTGCTCTGTTCGAATAAAACTGACGATGAAACGTTCTAAATGCAAAAAAACTCATCAAATCCTTCATTTCTTTTCTTATGTCGTGTTTCTTCCCAGCGTTCCTCCATTTGAATGTGTTTGTGTTGTAGGAGAACGGTGTTTCAGTCCCCAATGTGGTGGTGGCGGAGAACCCGTTATAGATACTTGTCCTTGGAGACTCCGTTCTGCACGTGCTTCCTGCAAAGCACAGAGATGAAAAAGGTGGGAAGGAATGAGCTTGCAGATGTAGAATATCTGGATATCAGGATTTCAGAAGTCTTCAAGGCCAAGCAGATAAGAAAGGCCACATGATTAAATCTCATGCTAGCTTTGATCCCGGCTACAGCAGAGCGCTGCAGCAGTGTAGGAAACTCCACCAGGAACATATTTCACCCCATAAAAAACTTGAATGACTAACGTTTATATGAGAACTTCTGTATCAGCACTGGAAAATGTGTGTGTGTGTGTGTGTGTGTGTGTGTGTGTGTGTGTGTGTGTGTGTGTGTGTGTGTGTGTGTGTGTGTGTGTGTGTGTGTGTGTGTGTGTGTGTGTGTGTGTGCGTGTGTGTGGAGGGGGTTTCAGGGTCTTCAAGTCTGCAGAGGTCAAAAATCACTGATAAAGATGCACGAGGCAGTCAGCCACAAGATTAAAGGCAGCCTTAGATAAAAGCTAATATACTTTGGTCTTAGTCAGCATTTGCTGGTTTGAAGCTCACCACAGCAATGTTCAGACCACAGGTCCGTGCTGCAACAAGAAAAAAGGCTTCACAAAGTCAAATATAATCCCCGTATAGGTGGGTTTTGGGAGGAGATTTAATGCTTTGTGCTCCATCTTTTTCACATGAATGTGTGGTTGTGATGTCAAAATGTTTACAGGTGACAATAACGGGGAGATCAAAGTAAAAATGACCTTAGCTACATCACAAAAATGATTGTTGTGTTCATATATACATATCTATATCTATCTATCTATATCTATCTATCTATCTATCTATCTATCTATCTATCTATCTATCTATATATATATATATATATATATATATATATATATATATATACACACATATACATACAGGTATATATATATATATATATATATATATATATACCTGTATGTATATACCTGTATGTATATGTATATATATATATATATATATATATATATATATATATATATATATATATATATATATATATATATATATATATATATATATATATATATATATATATATATATATATATATATATATATATATAGTAGTTTGAGACAAAATTAAAGATTTTTAACCAGTACATTCTCCAATCATGACCCCATAGGGCAGGTGGTAGATCTGAACCCAGATCTGCATAAACTCAAACCTAAAGATGGTGCTCACCTCTGGGCAGAGATGTGATGTCCAGCATCATCATCATCATCATCTGTTTTTGTTGTCTGAGGATCTCTGAGCAGCTCCGCTGCTGCCTTCCTTCCATCCTCGTCTTCATACTCTCTAACATCGTTCACCTCCTTCACCTTCAGCAGCTTCACTACAAACATCACAATAAACTAGACGAAACACAGGATGGAAACAGGAACAATCAGCTTCAGGAAGACAAGAAAATGAAAACACTTTAGGTTTGAGTCGGCAACCACTACTGTCCTCACCAAAAACCAGTAGATATTCATGAGCAGCAGGGCGAAGAGCAGGGCGTTGAAGAAGAAGTAAAATGGGATGTTGGGGACAGATTGGATGCTGAACACACACGTGGCGTACAGCACTTTAAGAGGGAACCAGTAGAGACGGAACCAGAACCTGAGAAAGGCGCGGTAGAGACAAAAGGAGGAATGTAAATCAGACATCTAAATATTAGAGATGTCAATGCTACAAATCACGACTGTGAAAGAAAGAGATAGATTACCAAGTGATGCTGAAGCTGACAGAGGCAATGTTGGCCAGAACATCATTGATGAGGTGATAGCCACCTCCTCTGGACTTCAGGTAGACGTTGAGCTTGGTGAACTCCAGCTGGACATCGTTAATGTCATGAAGGAATAACACCAGAATCCCCACGTTGTGATATCTGCAGCAGACAGAACGGCCACTGGAACATTAGTTTTTATTCTAGTCAGGAAACAGGAAGCAGTTTGACTGGAAAGTAAATGATCTGAAGTCATTTCCAGGTGTTCAGTTACGTTAATCCTTAGTGTCCAATTAGAGAGAATCAAGTGAGATGTGAGACTGCCCGATACCTGAAGGCGTAGGAGAAGCTAATAAGAGCCAGTGTGATGATATGGTGGACCACCATGACAGCAGAGTCCTTCCTCCACGTGTCCATGTTGATGGTGGCGTAGATGGAGTGGCCGTAGAAGCTGCCCTGGATCAGGTAGGCTACAGCGATGTCTGTAGGCACGGCCATACCACTCTTCCAGTCTAAAGACACAGAGAGGGGGATTAAATGTCTGGGAAACTTATTCAATCATTACATTTGCAGTGGTCTCTGGTATAGAAATGAATGCCTTGCAAGCCGTACTCAGGGCAAAAAAAAAAAGCCCAGAAATGCCTGCTTTAGCAGGGACAAGTCTGCTGCAGCAGAGGAGAGCCTAACACAGCAGGTTTTGAGATCTTATTTCCTGATATATGGACACCTCACCTCAGACTGGATAACATCAACGGGACTCTACCACTGATTTTGTTTTTTTTGTTTTTTTGCTTTGCAACATGGATGTCTTTTCTATACTAATACCACAAGCCTGGAGGAGCTTCTGCTGTGTGGTGTTGTTGCTAATGCTAATGGTTAGCTTCTGCTAGCTGAGACGTCCTCTACTGATTCTGGAAGTTAAAACAACAACAGCCTTCCCCGTCTTAAACCAGTATGGGTGAATCCAAGCGACCACTTGACTAACAGTAGATCTGTCAGGATTTTCAAATCCTAGAGATTCACTGCCTATTTTCTATTGAAGCTAAGGCAGAAATAATATTTAAAAATGCTTTTTTCAGTGACCCACACCTTTAAGAGCCAGCTTTTGGGTTAAATATGACAATACTTTTTGAATGTGTCTTTTAAACGTCACAAACGGATCCGTGTATGTTTTACCACTAACTTATTCTTCTATGAACTTGTTCAAATTACTTTATTGTTAAAATGACCTACCTAAAAAATGTAGATGTTTTAAAGAAACTGTTTTATTAAATGTGTAACTGTGGCACAACCTTAATTAGTTTGCTTTAAACTAAAATATCCTCTGACAATCAAAGGGGAGGCGTTGAGCCTGTAGGGGGCAGCAACATCACACAAAGACTTTGATCACACAGCCAGGTTTTCATAAAAGGAAGTACAATTATTAAAACAGAATAAAATTAGATATAAAGTGCCAGAAAGGTTTTATGTGATGCACTTGTCAAAATGTTGCATTGTAAAAAAGATAAATAAAAATTATGATATGCAAATAATTTTAATGAAAATAACCTTAAACTAATAAATGATGAATAATTAAAATCTTTAAATATTACTGCATTTTTTTTTAAATGCACATTTATGCTTTTGGAGAGCGCAACATGCCATAGGAACTCTAAAATAGACAATAAACCAAAAATAAATGTTTTAATTTTAGAGACTTTTTAAAGTCTTACCATTTTTCACCAGCTATCATTCTAAGATGACTAATTTCTTCAATTTTAAGTTAAATGTAAAGCTCTTCTGTTACTAAAATAGTTTTCCTCTCTGCAGATCTTCAGAGTTAAGCAGCTCATTATTGTTACACGTTCACCACATGCTATGGAGTAACTGATGAGGGTTCAACACGATAGCATCCAGGAGGCTTTCTGTAGAAAAACAAGCTGAAAGCACGATGGGACTGGCCGGCAGGCTCTCATCTTGGAAACCTTTCGGATGTTAGATGGACACTTTCTCCATCGGGGTTTGAGTGAGGTTCATCTCCAGTGAGCTGGGTTTCATTCGGGCTCCGTGTAGTGTTTATTGATCGACCCCTCCATCATTAAACATTAAGAGGAGGTCTGGTAGATGGAATGGAAAAGCTGCCAAGATGAGCTCTTCTCCACCTTTTTATTAAGATGCAGAAACCCAGCTCCTTTAACAACCCTGTCCCTTTAAATTCTCTCAGTTTTCAAAAAGACCAATAGCTCCACATCTCTTCCCCGAGACAGACACGCTGCAGATCCACACACATGAACCTGAGAGCTATTAATGGTGACTTAGCCATTAAAGATGAATCTGCTGCTGTCAGCGGGCCTTTGTGAGCATTGACACCTCTGTGTCTGATGCAGGAGGGTGCAAGGAGACAATAAAAGACATCTCTGGAATGTAAGTGAAGTCCCCAGAGCACTTCCTCCCTCCATTAGCAGAAATACGCAGCAACTCTGGTCTCCATTAGACAGGATCATAAAGATCCTGTGTTGTTGCATGGAAGCTAATAGGTAATTGTTAAAGATGTTAAACAAAGACTTTAAGTGAATATGTTATTAATGCCGGTCTGAATCTATTTCAGAAATGTGTGTGTGCATCTCTGACCACTTGACATTACAATGAAGCAGCAGGAAGGGTGAGAGATTAAAGGCTCGTTGTAAGCATGCACCAACAAGCGGCACATCCTGTGTGTCCTCTTATAAATATCTACTAATTTGAATACTCAAATAGGTTTTAAACCACCACAGCGCCTCCACTCCCTGCTGTTTTGGTTAAAATGATCTCAACTCTCAGATTTCTGTGCCTTACTGTAGAAGGTAGATGGAGGGTCATGGAAGAAGGAGTAGGAGGTGAAGAAGAGCAGGTAGGTGCTGTAGGACCACGACAGGGTGTAGAAGACCAGCTTCCATGCGCTCTCTGGCATCTTTGCGGCATCTTTGGGCAGCAGTTTGCACCACTGTGCAAGAGGCTGCAGAGACAGAGCAGAAACAAAAAAATCACACAAAGGGAAAAGGACTCAAAAATAATCTGATAAATCATTCAAGTGGTAAAACACACAGAGAGGCCGGACTACAAATGACCGTTTCATAACATGACATAAATGACCACAACATAACATAGTGCATAAACAATCTTTGAAGGAAATGTTGGTATTAAGGGAAGAATGTAATATGAATTCATGCTATGACCTCTATGCCTTTAATTAAAATATTCTGATTATATCACTGGACTGAAGAAACTGAGTCATGACTTAATTTCTCTCAGCGGTTCAGGAGCTTGCTGAGGCTTGGATTGAACTGAAAGCTGAATCAGTGCCTCTCCAAATGAAAACAGTTCATCATAACTTTGTAAATCTGTGATTTATGCTGTGCTTTTGAATCATTCTGCATTCGTTTTTGTTAAGTCTGCAGCTTATTTGAGATTGGTTCTAGTGAAAACATCAATATAAACCAACACACTGTGGACTGAATTTGATCCAGTCTCTAAAACATGATGCATAAAAAGTTTCACACCCAACAAAAAAGTGAACTGGAACCAAGCCCCCACAGTGCGTCTCAAAAATTGAGGCCAACCCGGAAGTACCAAAAATTGCAGTTCCATCCTCATCCCCTGGGGGCTGGTGTCAGAAGCGAGCAAATCCTCATTGACTCCCATGTTAAAAATGCCAATTTCACAGCAGAAATAAACATGTTTACAGCCTGGTACCAAAACATGTTTTTGGTTTAAATTATCTAGTTTATACTCATGACAACTCTGAGGGGGGTGAACTTTTTTCTCACTCTTCTGTTTAAGTGTATTAAAAGCCTAAAATTCTGTATAATTACTGAGCATCAGACCCACGTGACCACAAAGCTAGCTCCGTGGAAAGGCCTCAGTAGAGCCTCGGCCTGGCTTGGAAACTGCTCTGGGATTTTGAGTCTCTGTGTTTGTGTATTCTGTTTTGGATATTTTTTGTGCAATTGTTGGACAAAATGACTTGCTGTGGCATTAATTGCACTAATAGAGCGTCCAAGGAGTCTCCACTTCATTTTTTTCGGTAAGTAAAATGAAATTTATGTATTTTAGGTCACTGCTGAGCTGAGCTTAGATTTTAACATGTACTGTTTAACCATGACATTTAAATGTAATAGGGTAAAACCCAGTGCATTTAACATAATGCTGCACTTTAGAAAATGGGTTGAAATATAACATGTTGGTGGAGCTGGGTTCCGACTATCGGCTTGTGGAGCTCTCGGGAGACCGATGTTTTCCACCCGTTTCTCCCCTCCCCGCAGCTTCGCGCATCTCTGTCTGATCACGGCTTCTGTCTGCTGCGCGGGCTGCTGCGCGGGCTGCCAGCTGGGTCTCCCCGCAGCCCGGCGCATCTCTGTCTGATCGTGGCTTCTGACTGCTGCGGCGGGCTGACGGCTTGTGGAGCTCTGGGATGGAAACCTTTCCACCCGGTTCTCCCCAGCGGCAGCTCTGCGCATCTCAGATCGCAGCGGTGCTTGTCTGCTGTGCGGCTGCCGGCTTGTGGAGGTCTCTGAGACCTCTGTGTTCCACCCGGTTTTACCCAGCGGTCAGCCCGGCGTATCTCTGATTCAGAAGCTCTGGTGTTGTGCACAGTTAACTCCGGTTGTAGCTAGATTGCTATCTCCGTTAGCTTAGCTCCCACCTCAGCATTAGCTTTGGGTTAGCTTCAGGTTAGCTTGTAGCTAGTTCGACCGGGTGTCGTCAGTTGATCCCAGCCTTACAGCCCCACCCTCAGCTCCACCTCTCTTCCCTTTTATGGAATTGTCTGGGCTTGACGGAACCTGTGACACGGTCAAAATGGCGGTGATGGCCACCTCCCATTTGGCCTCAAAAACGTGATATTGGAGCCTATGGAAACCCATTGTCCAGTATATATGTTGATGACTGGAACAGGTGAATCCCTAAAACTAAGCTGGGCATTAAAATATGGAATCTGCTCTGTGTTTGCAGAACTGAGGCATTTAAAAACAATGTTTGGTTCATCAGGGGAGGGCAGAAACAGTTTATTTCAATTTCTCTGCTTAAAAACTGACAAAGTCCACTTTAACGAGGTATAAAAGTCTACATAACTCAGAAATCTTGACAATGAGTGTAAATGAGTTTTAAATAAAAGTGTCTTCTATGACTGAATGTAAATTTAATGTACAGTGAAATCTAATGAAGCGACGGAGTGTTTTCACAGTGTGCTGCTGATAAGTTTGTAAAATGACATTAAGTTAACAAACCGTGACTCTCCTCAGTCGAGCTCAGATTTTTATAGAACATTGATCTTTTGCTGAATTGGCCTCATGAAAATGAAACAAACAAAAAGAAAAATGCAAAATCTAACAGTTGTTTAATCTAACAGCTGAAATGTCTCCCCAGGCTTCCTTAGTGTCTGCAGGAGTGGTTCCTCGCTAAATTAAACAAATCAGCTGTGTTCATGATCTAAAACATGCAGGAAACGTGCTGGAACCAGACTGCAAGGCCAGGCGTCAGTGGTGGCGCCAGGGGGGTGCTAGGGGGCGCTCTAGCTCCCCCTGGATTAGTCATTGCACCCCCATAGCACCCCCAAGTAAATATTAGATTTATTTTTTTACAATTTAATTTTTAGCTAACGTGTGGATGTGATAATATTTAACATACAAAACAAAAATAACCAGTAAATTATCATATAGATAGTAAAAATCTAAACCAAAACAGGAAATTGATGTTAACCTTTGACCTCATTTTCCACCTGCGAACAAGTGAAAGGTATGGATCGGTTTTTGTTGCCCACATTTCCACGGGTTCAGTCAGAAACAAATGAATCTTTGGAAGTGATCTCAGACCCATAAAAACCTACGGATCTGGATGAAGAGAGTCAACCCTCAACCGCCGCAGCAGTCCAGGGTTTTGCCGCTGGAAATGCTAACGCTAACGTTAGCTAACCTTGCAACACTATAGGTGGTTTTCTGTGTGGCTGTATGTGTTTATGATTTCATGGAAAAGTCAGCGATTGTTCATATGTTTATGATGTGTATTAATGATTGTTTCAGGTGTTGTTGAGGTTTTGTGCACGCATGTGTATCTGCTAGTGTTGAAGGTGTTTTAGAGAATAATAGGTACGCATGACCACTTCCTTCATAGCACTCTCAATAAAAAGACTAGCTCCTTCATAGCACCTGCAGAAAAACATTTCTGGAGCCGCCACTGCCAGGCGTGTCAGCTCAGTTTTTTTAAAAGTCCAACAGGTGGCGAGTTGCCTGCTAGTCTGAAGTTGCAAATGCGGTATTCTGGCCACAGGGGGTGATGGGGTGGCCTTTCATTAACCCTGTAAAGGGTCATTTTAGCACATACTGGCTCAAGAAAAAGATTTAAAAATAGGAAAAAGTCGTATAGTATGCCTTTAAATAGTATTGACCTGTTTAATCGGTTTATAACTTTGCCGATTTCTCTCTTACACACATATGCATCCTCAGACAGAAACAGCTCAACAGGATCATGTGACCGTCAACCCACAGACATGTACTTTTCACACGTTTGCTTTTGGTCTGCTCTGCGGACAGAAAGAGGACGTCAAAGAGGAGGTTTTTCTGTACGGATGTAGCCTGATAATCTAACTCCCACCACCACTGCCGAGTCACTCACATGGCCTCGGTATCTTCATCAGAAACGTGTAACAGCACTGATAAAATACACAACATGCTCTTGGCAAGTAGTGAGAAGACAGGCTGTTGTTCCACGTTTTGCCAAGACAGGAAACCAAATCCAGATCAGTGTCTCATAAATACACACACACACACACACACGCAGACACACAGAAGTGTGTGTAGAAAGTGGAGAAACAGCAATTGAGGGCAGGAAAGTAAAAGTCGCTTGTGTCACTGATACAACGCATCTCAATTCCGTTACTGAACACGAGCTGATGAGACCAGGATCAGTGACAACCTGCATCACAAATTAATGAACTGAGGGTTTCTGCAGCTCAGAAACGAGACCTCACTCCATTTGGGTGATTAAATAAATAAAAAATACAAAAAAAAAAAAAAAAAAAACCAGGAAAGTGAATTTCTCCAACTTGTTCCTGAACTTTTGTTTCATTACGCCTTTGATTTGTTTATTCTCACCACCCTTAACCCTCACATCACAGAGAGACGAGTCAACAGATGTGAGATAACATGTAACAGTAGCACACTTCATGACACATGTAGAGAGAGCAGGTGCCCTGTGGGGGGGCGGGGACACGTGACCCCAGGCGGGAAAGTTGATTGGGTGAGACAGAAGTGAAGTAAGGGGCGTGTTCTGTAAGTCCTGGCCGAGGCACAGTGGCGTGCAGGACACTCACTACAGTCCCTAAGGTCTCCTGGCACATCTGTGTCAGTTCACCTTCCCCCATCCCCCCACCTACCCATTTTTATTACTTTGTATTCTTGTACCTTCTTCATTCTCTCTTTCCATCCACCCACGTGTCCCCCTGCCTGTGACTGTTATTTATAGAAGCCAGCTATCAGAGAACATTGTACCCCCTCACAGTCCTCCAGTATGTCGCCCTCCACCTCCTCACACAAAAACATAAGCCTGCACACACTGACAAAGGCAGAAAAGCACTCCAGGCTGATAGAGCCAGCAGTGACTCTGCAGTTCACTTCTCACTTGTTCATCATCATTACTGTCAGCTCCTCTCCTGTGAAAGCTTCAGATCACGTAAACATTACACTTCTGCTTCCGTTTTCTCCATTTGAGTCATTAATACATTCGCACCACAATCAAAAACTCATACAGCAGTACCTGGATATGTTTATGCATTAAAACTACTTGTGTGAATTGGTTTGGAGGGATGTGGGCTCTTCTCATCCTGGATTATAAACTATCAAATCCCATATCAGGGAATAAGCTATTTCAAATAGTTAGCCTGTTAATGTTTCCATATTTTGACTAGTAGCCATTAATTTGTATTATTGATGCTTTTGTTGTCTGGGCCAGCCTGAAAAACAG